AATTGGATCAGACTCTCTGGGAGTAGGGAACAGACATTGGTACCTTTCAAAAGCATTCTAAGTGGGGCGTCTGGGTGGCTTAGTCGGTTAAGCGTCTGCCTTCGGCTCAGGTCATGATCCCAGGGTCTTGGGATGGAGCCCCAAGTTGGGCTCCCTGCTAAGCTGGAAGTCTGTTTCTCTCTCCCTCCCTGTCCCTTCCCTCCCCTTGCTCATGCTCTCTCTCTCATATAAATAAAATATTTAAAATAAAATAAAGCATCCCACACAATTCTAATCTACATTTAGGGTTGACAGTCATGGGATTGAGTCAAATTAGATGGTGGTATGGATAAGATAAGGGAAAAAGAAAGGTGGCCACATATCCCCACAGGTGAGGACCATGGAATTATGGGAAATCTCTAGCAAATATTCAATGAAGTGAGTTGATATAAATTTTTAGTTATCAATTGTATTTATAAGCAAATTTTTACTCCTTTAAAGGGAATCTGCTATAGTATCCTAGATCTGAAGGTCTTAAGGCATAGAGCAGTTCTCTCATAGGGCTTTTTTTTTGTTTGTTTGTTAATTTTATTTATTTATTTATTTTTATTTTAAATTTTAAAATTTTTTATTTTTATTTATTTTATTTTTTTAATATTTTTTTATATTCTGGATACAAGCCCTTAAGCAATAATGTTTTCAAGATTGGAACAAGATAATGTGAGTTATTGAGAGAGGAACTTTAGGGAAGAAAAAGCCCATTTTTAAAAGAGGCTGTACACTCATTTGGTTCATAACTCAAAACTCACAAAAGGGTAAAGAGTGCAAATCTCACTGTCCTCTGTTCCCCGCTGTTCAATTTCTCTGACTTGGAAGCAGTCAGTCTTCTGTGTCTGATAGTTCATTATTACACAAGCAATGCCCCCCTCCTTTATTTTCATACAAATGGCATCGTCCAAATGATAGGCACGCTATTCTGCATTTCACTTTTCTTTCACTAAATATTATATCCTGGGGAACTGCTTATGTCTTAACAAGTCTCAAGTTTAGATGCTGCATGTTCAAACTTTCATCCCTCGGTAAAGACACAAGGCATGTAGTAGAGATTCAACAGATGCTATCGCCAGTTTCATCCCACTTCCAAAATAAACAAGCCAGCACTGCCGCACCTGTCTGCTGAAATTAAATTCAGAACTAGTCTATAAGGGATGTTGCTGTCTTCACCTGAGAACTGCAGTACAAACATGCCTTCGGTGATATTCTCAAAAGTAGTGTTCAAAGAGACCAGATGTATTTTTAATACTGCCACAAAAAGAGGCAGAAACCTCAGTTAACTTGGAAATTGTTATGTCAAAATCCAAGAAACTACAAGTAGCTTTGACACCAAGCCTTTGGATAAACCGAAATCATAGGATTAATAAAGCAAATAATTTTTTTTGCTCAAAGATCTAACTCAAGCGTTTAAGCTTGTCTTTGTCTTGGTAAGGTGCTGTCTCTCACTACTTTCCAGGGCTGACACTGAACCTCAGTAGGGATTATGTGAGAAGCTGAGACATCACCTCGTTTTCTAACTCATAATCTATCATCTCTGATTCCTTAAAACTAACACATTGAATCGTAAGTGGTAGAAAATTATATGTGCAGCTTAATCTTCAGGAATTTATCTGTCTTGGTTTCTTGCTTTGTACCATTGTTAACCACATTATAAATATTAGCAGTTGATGTTTTATAAATCTCTGGGGTTAAAACTTCATGATTTGTAACAGCAAAAAGCTTAGAATCTCTGCTTTGCCATTGTAGGGATTGCTTTTTGCTTTTGGTTTCTGGGCAGCAACGGACAGTTTAGCCTTTAGTTTTGGCAAAGGGAATAAAAGCAAACGGCAATGACATCGATTGGGGTTTTGAAGGGTTTTTAAGTTATTGCTACCTTTTAGCCACATTACTTCTTTCGGTGTGCATGTTTGTTAAAAATCCCCACAGTTTTAGAATCTTCCTCCTCTTCAGTTGAATAGTGTTTGGCTGTTGTTCCTCACTGAATATACAAGTTCTGGAATCAGAGTCACTTTCTCCAGGCAACTCAGTGTGGTTAGTGTGTTATTGGTTATTTTTAAAAAGTACCGTAAAGGGATTATATTGCCTGCGTATGCACGCGTGTGGGGGGATGTAACAAGCTTGTGTATGTGCAGGAGGGCAGGGGAGAGGAGTGGTCAATAAAACAAATAAGCCATTGAGTCACTAAATTCTAAAATAGTGAAACATAGCATCGAATAATTCTGCGGGAATGGACAATAAAATGCAAAAATCTGAACCTTACTGAGCTCAACTAACTTACAAATGAATAAGGTGAGATTATATACATGACTTCCTTCAGTGTCCTAATAGGAATGCTACGTTATCATGATTTTTATGCTCAATAAATAGAATATTGATGAAAATGTATTTGGTGTGGGTCAGAATTGCAATACTAATTGTTATATTATTTATAAAAAGATATGGTAGAGTTTTTAACTCATATTTCTAATTTTAAGCTGTCATTATCATTAGACATAATTAATTGAAGGCATTGTAAAATACATCAAATTATGTCCTCTATGTAGGAATGTAGGTAATGTAGGTAATCATGGTATAGCATTTTGTTATGACACTAATATCACCCTTTAGTGAGTATATTATCTTTGTCCCATGACACTGGAACTGTAGTGGAATTCAGTTCCAATTGGCTATAAAATATCTTTCTTCAGTGGAGGTCAAACTACTTTAAAATATTATCTCCGTGCTTTTAGCTTATCGAAGAAATATTGGAAAAGTGATTTATTCTTATTTAGCGGGCGAGAAAATGGCAGCATAGACAGGGAAAGTCAATTGTATAAGGTCAGTTAATAAATCATCTTTATGTGGGTGAGATCAAGTTTCCGAAGTCACAATCTAGTACACCAGGGACTGAACAGTGCCTAAGACAGATAGAAAAAGTAAAAGTCAAATGTCTACCTCACTTCGTTCAAAAGAATATACTGGCTGGTTCATTTTAGACTGATGTGCTCAAGGCTTCAAAATTTGTGAGTCAAGTTATGTATATGAGTTGCCAGATTATATCTGGCAGCTTTTTATACTGTATTAACATGTTGACCTGTATGAGGTGGTAATGTAATAAACTGAAATCAAGTGTTTTGGGATAGTTGTGATAATAAAAATGAATTTCTTGTTGCAATAAATACTTCGGTATTAAAAGAGCAAGAGAAAAAGCAACAGAATATAAGAAAGAGGTTATATTTTAAAAAAAGAAAATATACTTACATTAAAGAATATTAAGGGTAATCATCAAAAAAAAAAGAAAATACAAACTAATAATGCCCTATCCAAGATCCAAGTAGATGTAGATAGTGAATCGAAATTCATGAATAGCTGTGGTTGGCCTCTTCTTATCATCTGTTCATTTATTATTCTCTGTTGGGGGAGATCTCTCAGTTTGCTACTAGCAACTTCTTTCCTATTTTTACCTTATCAGTATTTCCCAAGTGTGTTTTCCAGAGTATAAGATCCATGAGATATGTATATAGGGGCTGTGGACAGAGAAGTTTAGGAAAGATTACATATAGTAACTATCTTTTGGGAATTCCTAATGTTCTTTAACACTTTAAAGTCTTCAAGAAATGGTCGAAAATCAGAAACCTGTTTTCCTTTTTTTATCCCAACCCCTTTCAAAAGGATTTGACTATGAAATATATATATGTAATATGTATATATTTTTTAATATATACATATATTAAAATTTCCAGGCACCTTGCTTTAGAATCAAAAGACAAAGTAGCAGTGATGAGAATGGATTGAGGAATAAGGGGATATAGTTGGGCCAACATAGATTCTATGGAACACTTAGAATTTTTGTAGAATCACTGATTTATGTATGCTATGTTCATTTTCCATTTCAAAGAAACACCTATTAAAAAATGCTTTGGGGGGCGCCTGGATGGCTCAGTCGGTTAAGCAACCGCCTCTTGATTTTGGTTCAGGTCATGATCTCTCAGCATTGTTAGATCCAGCCCCACATCAGGCTCTGCGCTGAGCATGGAGCCTGATTGGGATTCCTCTCTCCACTTCCCCTCCCCACGGTGTGCTCTCTCTCTCTAAAAAAAATAAATAAATAAAAAATGCTTTGTGTCCTTTTGATTACATATTCTATAAAAATTGTTAGATTTTTATTCATGGATTTTCCATTGAATTTGTAAAATATCATTTTGAGGGAAAACATACATTTGGGAATATCTTACTGAAGTTTTTTTAAGTCATAGAAGTTGCTTTCCTTGGAGTGAGGCATTTAATTGAAAAAGTCATTGTTCAGAAATCACTGTGATTCCGTATTTTTCTCTTTTCCCAAACACTTTGAGAATTGTTGTTGTCACTTATTTTTTTAAGATTTTATTTATTTAGTTTTAGAAAGAGTGTATGAACTGGGGGAGGGGCAGAGGGAAAGGGAAAAAGGGTACCTCCTGCAGACCACACTGAGCAGGGAGCCCAATGTGGGGCTCCATCTCATGACCCTGGGATCATGACCTGAGCCAAAATCAGGAGTCCACTGCTTAACCAACTGAGCCATCCAGGCGCCCCTTATTGTTACTTTTAAAAGTAATTCTGAAAAAGTGTTCAAGTTAGAAATTCATAGCAATCATATTTGTCATTTAATCTACCACCCAAAACAAGGTATTTAATTTCTGGGCTAACGGAAGACTGTTTTATATTATTAAATTGAATGTGATATATATTTCCTGTCCTTTATCTCTTGAAACTGAAGAAAGGAACAATTGCAATTTGAAAAGCTTTTAGGATGATGTAATGGAGCAAATGGCCTCTCTGAAGCCTGGGCATTGGGTTTGTTTTATTTATGGTAGAAAATGAGGATATTTTAAAACCAAGATTTGTTGAGCACCCCATTTTATTAATACCACTGTGTTAACTAAGTATTGAACTGTCAATGAAATATGAGACCTTTTACCCAGTGACATTTTAAATGAATCTCCTTGTAGGGGAAGCCTGTGGGAACACCAGATGCTGGTGCTTATTTCCGCGTGCTCGCGGAGCATGGAGTAGCTGCCTTGTTTACAGCGCCGACTGCAATTAGAGCCATCCGTCAACAGGACCCTGGGGCAGCCTTGGGGAAGCAGTACTCTCTGACAAGGTGAACTTGGGATGCACAGGGCAAATTACATTAAAAACTGCAATCAGAATGAATAACTGAACATTATATTTTTTTTTTGGCACTGCGATACCTCTATGGAAAGAGCCAGAAGATTCTGGATGTTATTAAGAATGACTGTTCTAAACATAGCTTTGAATTAGTTAGAATTTTAACTATACTATGAATATTTTTTAGTACCATATTGTGTTTATTTCAGTTCAGATCTTACCAAAATATTTCTCTTTTTTAAACCACCGTGCTTACATTTTCCTTAAAGTAAAATGCTGACTATGGCTTAAAATGCATTTATACATATATAATAGTATCTGACTGTCTTTTGAAAATAGAATAATAGTGTAAATAGAAGGAAAATATTATTTGATCTCATATATAGAGATCAAATGTGAAAATTATGGTCCAAGTTAGTGTTGTTGAAAGAATGGAGGAAATTGTTTTTCTGTGTTTTGTAATAATAGGCTCTGAATAGTTTGAATATTTTTTTACTGGTTTATTGACATCCATTTCAGTTTAATGATATGTATATTTGAAGATAAATACAGCAATTTGTATCTTCAAGGCAGTTTCCAGCATCAGTTCTTTTTGAACTTGTTTGAAATTGGTCCCTGCTCTCATCAACTAAAAGGAGGATTTTGTAGTTTCTTCAAGTCAAAAAAAATGGCTTTGAATGATTGTTTTGAATTTTTTTAAGTTAAATGCCAAGTGTTAGGAATTTTATTTTGTTAAAACCCAAAGAAGGAGTCAAAATAGATATCATATACTGATTGCAGGTGGGAGCAAGAAGCTTTGGGCAGTCAGTAGTTTTGTTTTTGGTTCTTGTCCTTCCGTTTTTCTGTTTTATGAGAAATTAGATCTGGATTTACATAAAATTTTACCCATAATCTAAAGAATACACTCATTAAAATAAAAGTGTTCATAAAATGAACCTTCCATTACAGTATTTCTACTCATCCTCAGTTTGTCCCTTCATTTACTACATTTCAATTGTATTTTCTCCATTTCAGCCAAAAGGATAGAAAAGTAGATTTTGGTAAGAACATCTTAGGCTCTGTACAGCCTCTCCATGGCTTAGACGGTTCCGGGAAATGTTGAAGAAACCGTGATTGTAGTTCTTTGCACCGTCTCTTTCCTAACAAATGCATTCTGATGGCAGGGTGTGACGTTGTGTGACCTGCAAGCCAAGGAAGGTCTCTTATTTGCTACATCATCTTCTTTTCCCATTTGTACATGGGTATTAGATGTTATCTGTTACTTTGAAGGCAGGAACCATTTCTAATTGTATTAACGTAGAAAGCATCCGGTAGTACTGAATGCCTATTAAATCATAACCTTTTTTTCAAACTAATACTAATATGGAGCATGAGATTTTAGTGTAAGAGAAATTGCACTTAAGTTCCCTCTGAGAATGCCCTTCTGTCTTTAGGCACCTAAGTTATTCGTGATGGTGTGCACATATGTTTTTAATAGATATTTAATGACGTAGATGCTTCGGACACCCTCAATTCTTCCAGTCACTACCATTAATAAATGCAAACATTTGCTGATTACCTACTATGCTCCAGGTATAAGCAGTTTAAGTTTCTCTCATTCAGTTATCACAATAAGTAGGAATTGTGATTATCCTCATTTTACAAATGAGTAGTATTAGGACCAGAAAGTTTAAGAAACTCTTTGGAAAGAAACTAACTCAGACAATCTGAAAAGGGCCCACATTCTTCACACAGACATATTTTTCTTATGAGAGATAAATTAAGAAACTCACTTGATCCAGAGATTTTTGTCATTCATGGGATAAAAGCAGCTTTTACTTCTTATATATTTCTAGCCTATTCAAATAATAGCTTCACCGAACTTCTGTAATAGATTCTGACTTGTGAACTAATGGGATGTTAGAAGGGACCTCAAAAATCCAACTATCTGATTTTAAAAACAAGGAAACCAGAGTCCAAAAAAGTTAAGTTTGGGTTAAAGACAGAATAAAGACCAGGTCTCAAGTCTTTTCCCACAACTCTACCTTTCATTTTATATTTATGTTCAAGACATTTCCTACTTACTTAGTGAACTGACATTCACCAGGTATTATAATTGCAGGCTCATGATTGATCTGCAGAGCTTGCTTTCTCTCTTCTCTTATAGGACATTTCAAATGATGAAAATGTGTTTTTCAGATGTGTTACATATCTCATTAAAGATTGTTTTAAAATAAATTTGGAGATTTGCCAAAGATTTCCCTCCCCAAAGCAAATTTCAGAAGGCATTCTAAAATAGGGAACTAAGCAGAACTATAAATTCCTTTTATCATAGACGATTAGAAGTCAGAAGAACAAATTAGAGGTCATCTAGCACCAACATCTCATTTCACAATTGAGAAGCTGTTGTCACAAAGAGGTGAAGTGACATGCCCAGGACTACAGAGCTACCCTGCAGCAAAGCTGGGATGAGGCAGTACCATGTGCTATAGTTAAGATTCTCGCTCTGGAGTTAGACACACTGGGTTCAAGTCTACCATTTACTGGTTGTGTGACCTCAAGAAAGTGACATAGCCTCTCTGTTCTTTTTGCTGTTTTTCTTTTTTTGCTCTCCCTCCTCCTCCTTCTTCCAGGACATAAGTATAGTAATATTACAAGAATATAATGAAATTAAAAGGCATATTATCCATGTAAAACACTTGGAACAGTTCTTAACATAGACTGTCATCGCTCTTACCATTATTATTTTGCTTTCTAATATACTGCTCTTCTTCCTCACATCATGGTGATTTATTTTCCCATGATCTGCTAGTTCAATCTTAATCAAGTTAGAAAAATTCAGTTCTTCTACTTCCATTCAAGGTATCAAAGTCCCTAATACTCAGATGCAGCCCTTCTTTCGCAGTTGCATAATAATGAGGTATAATGCAAAAAAGAAAAAGCAGAGCACCAGAGATGAGCTCAAAAATAAACATATCTGTGGATTGGAAGTAGAATCGATCTGCAAAGTAGTAAGCAGGGCCGAAGCCAGAGGTTTGGCAGGTGTGCAAGCAGGCTTTGGCAGCGGAGTAGAGGCTCAGTATCCCCATGTTTTGACTTGGGGTCAGAGTCAGCTCGGGGGCATTGCACCTCACACTTGACAGGAGATTGATAATAATGGTGAGAGGGTGTTTTCTGGGACTGGGACTTAGAGCAAGCTTTGGTCTAGAGGTCTGAATGAGACAGAGAACAGCCCAGCAACTGGAGACTGAATTAAACCTCCCACCTGCTGTCCTAGAATAGGATCTATGATATCCTGAGTATCACTGTATGTTAATAATAATTCTGGACCATCACTGTGACATTGCTGGGGGATAATAGTTGCATCACCCACAAACCTATTGGACAGAGAAGGTGAACATAGGAGAGGGAGCAAGAGATAAAAAGAACAGCAAAGAACCTCTTTTTCTTCTACTTAAGACACTGGTATAAGAGCAGGGATCAACAACCACACTAATGAAGTTGAATAAAGGATCGCATTGCTATGGAAACCTGATTTACAGAGGAGGTAGCTTAACAGATAAGTGGAAGAAGGATAGACCCTTAAATAAATTGGTACTGAAACAACTGGCTGTATATATATAGAAAAATTGAGTTCCCTACCATATACTCTACACAAAAATAAATTTCAGCTGGATTCAAGGCCCTAAAATTGTAAAACAAAGAATTAATACTTTCAGAAGAAAATGGATAAATATTTTAATATATTTTTAGTAGGGAATGACCATGTAAAGCATAAATCACAAATCACTAAAGAAAATACTGATGAGGGGCGCCTGGGTGGCTCAGTCAGTTAAGCGTCTGCCTTCGGCTCAGGTCATGGTCCCGGGGTCCTGGGATCGAGCCCCGCGTCGGGCTCCCTGCTCCGCGGGAAGCCTGCTTCTCCCTCTCCCACTCCCCCTGCTTGTGTTCCTGCTCTCGCTGTGTCTCTCTCTGTCAAATAAATAAAATTAAAAAAAAAGAAAATACTGATGAAATGTACTACACTAAAAGGAATAATCGCCCACCAAAAGAATAAACAAACTTAAATGATGAATTATTCACCCAGAGAAGATATTTGCAACGTATATAACCATTAAACAATTAGTGTACAGAAGATATAAAGAACTCCTACAAATCAATAAGAAAAGACACAATCCAATAGACAAATGGGCAAAGGATATGGACAGTAGGTTCATGGAGAAGACGAGCGTAGTCTAAAACATTGAAAGAACTTTAATCTCACTAATAAACAGAGAAATAACATTTTCCTCCCATCATACAGACAAAAAGTTAAAATATCTAACAGTAATACTTGCTTGCAGGTTATAAAGCAGCAGAATGGTTTTTACACTACTATGGAGAGTGTAAAGTGGAAATATCTAGTAATATCAGTTGCTCCATGCATTCAATATGCCCCATGACCAAACCCGTATTAATATGGAGGGATGAGAATGAGAAACTCACAAGTGCAAACAACAAACCATGTACTTGAAGGTTCTTAACAGGGCTGTTTTAAAACAAAACAAAATATAAGCAATTACATGAATAGTAAAAACGTAATGGAAAATAAATTATGTATTATGGTGTATTAATTCAACAGGATGTTTAGAAGTGGAAATCAACCAGAACTTCAGGTATTAGCATGAATAAATGTCAAAAAGCATAATGCTTTTGAGTACAAAAAGCAAATGAAACTGATTGTGTTTCTCTTACATATAGTAAGAGAAATTTGAAAAATTACAAAAACCATATTGTCTTGTTTATGTATATGCAAACAGGCAAAAAAAATAAATAAATGCATGGGAATAAAAACCTCTGAGTAATGCTGGTTACCTCTGAGGCGGTGTGCCTAGTGGGATGGTGAAGAGAAATGAGATTTAAGTAGGGTTTGGAGAGAATTCAGTTGAGTCAATAATATTTTATTTTCTAAGTGACATAAATATGACAATGATAAAACTAGGAATTATGCATAAAACTGGGCAGTATGCACAT